TTTTTTTTTTGTTGAGTCGAAATTAAGTCACCGATTAATTATTGATTAGAAATTCGAGGAAACATTGTTGATGAACCACCATTTCTTATTTGTTTATCGTCTTCAATTGCAGCACTATCTTCATGACCAGTTGTTTCATTTAAACTAAAATCTATTTTAAACAAAGATAATAAATTAAAATTTTTAAAGAAGAAACAACAAACAAAAAATCATCTTACATGAATCACCATTAATTATTGATGTATTATTATTAGTTGTATTATTATTATTATCATCTTTTTTTGTTTTATATCGTGTTCGTGATTCATGTGATGATCGTTTTAATTTTGTTTCAACAATCCATGGATGACGTAAACCTTCTTCGGGTGTTAAACGTTCGACAGGATCCCATCTAAATTGAAATTAGATTTAACAAAAACAAGAAAATTTTTCTTTTTTTGTTTTTTTTTATTATTTAAAACAAACTCAAAGCATCGACGAATAAAATCAATAAAATTATTATCAGTTGTTCGAAGAATTTGTGCTAATGGACGGCTAGCTGGACGACGTTTTTTTAATGATTTTGTTGAAACTGTTCGAGGAATTCCTTTTGAATCTAAATTTAAATTATTCAAGAAATAAAAATCTTTTAGAAGAAAATGAAAAACAAAAAGAAAGAATAAACAAACCAAAAAATAATTTTCTTCGAGTTCCTTGTTCAAGAACATGATTTGGTGGTAAATCAATCACTTCCATTATCATTGCCAATTGTTCTTGTTCATTTTCACCAGGAAATATTGGATAACCTATTTTACATACAAATATTAATGAAATCGATTCAAATAAAAAAACAAAAACATGCCTCATTTTATTCTCATTTGTCTGAAACTTCTCTATGCATAAACATAAGTTACAGAAATTTCGGACCTAAGTTTACCTTATTAATCGTTATGAAAAAAATCTGATTTCTATAAATATTTAGTAGATTCCATAGTGCTCAGCAGAACGACATAGTATTAACATGTATGATATATCTATTGTGTGGTATCAATTCATACTGCTTATCATTATGCCCTTTGGTTGAAAGCTACACCATCTTGTTAACAGAATTTTAGAACTATGATTTAATCTGAATGTGTTCTGCTGAGCACTCTGGGGCAGAAATGTCCATCACGACTGGAAATCTGTCGCTGCCGCGCCGCCATGGACATCTTTGCTATGACGTGTATCAACTATTCATAGGAGTAAGATTTTTTATCAGAATTTATTCAGTAAACTTAGCCCTTCATGACTTTTGGTTCAGGTCAAAAAGTTATCGGATTTTTGAAACGAAATTCTGGCTTCCCATAACTACAGGTAGTTGTTTTTGTTTTCAACTAGAAACCATTCCCGATATGATCTACTCAATACATATATATATATATAGTAAATGGAATATGAAGCTAACAGGAATAGTACATGATTTCTACAGGAGATAATGTATCTTTCCTAAAGAATTTAAATCATTATTGAACGGCGACTACAAAGATTTGATCCCGAATCGGGATGTATGCAGATTTTTAGGGAAACACTTCCTCTATATAATGGCGTATGTATTATCAAGCTCTGTTGCGTAGTAAAATTTCCAATAGATGGCGTCACATTCGTTGTGCATACTATAGAATATACAGCGAATATGATGCCATCTATTGAAAATTTTGCTACGCAACAGAGCTTGATAATACATACGCCATTATATAGAGGAAGTGTTTCCCTACAAACCTGCATACACCCTGATCGTCTAGGATCAAATGTGACTCTGAAACTTATAGTCGCCTTTCGGAAAAGTGAAGTTTTAAACCATGAAACTCTCAGAATAGTTTTCACTATTTCATAATTTTATCTATACATATGAATGTTCTAAATCTGGGCTTCTTTCTTTCTCTTTGTCGACACTTTTCCAGTTGTATGACACGATTTTGATATGTTATTAACATCAAGACTTAATATGATGTCTTACTCAGAAACAATTCAAGAGTAGAGCCCATCGGGTGCAAAATTTTCAGACCGACGAACTCTTATGAACAAAGATGGTTTATGCATTTTTAGATAGCGCACGGAAGAAAATATCTGAAAACTATAAGAATTAGAAAATGAATGGAATCAACTGTTTCTAGTGTCTATATCGATGAGGAATTATCTCATTTGTTAATATTCAATGCACGAAAAAAAACCAAAACAGAAGCTCATTACTGAGGTTAATGATTCCGGCATTCGGCGCCGTCGTTTTCCGAGTGAAATCTTTGAGTAAGAAGTCGTTCTCTGGCCACTGTGGCCGGCCCTTCCCGATCTATGGTCGGAATCTGAAAATTTTGGCTACTCAATCTAGATATCAAATTCCTGCTTCCAATTTTCTGCTAATTTTTTGAAACCTTCCCACCGGCACTAATCCTATATCATTCACCCGGATATCAGGAATGTCTTCATATAGAAAATTAAATTCGATATTCCAATGCTCAAGATAGAAAAATCAGATTCTTTTTCGTCTTAGATTATTCAAAAATAT